CTGGCGCTGAACGCTGTCCCGCTGCTGGGCTGGCCGTCGGGAGCGGCTCGAGCGCGTCTCCCGTCCTGGAGTCCCGGGGCCGGTGCGCGGTTTTCTGTCTTGTGATATCACTGAAGTGTCCTATCTTGAAATTCTAGACTATCTGTCAAAAAACAAAAGCGTGCACTGCGGCGTATGGAGCTGCCACCAGAGCCCTGAAAGCCGTCAGCAAGGTGAGGCCCGGCTGGCAGCCCTGCGCCTCTCGTTCTTCCAGCGCACCGGTCCGTCGCCCCGGCCCCGAGCCTGCCCTTCTGCCCTCTTGTTTCTCCTCCCTACGCCTCACTTGAGGTTCCTCTGCTCCAGGCAGCTGTTGGATGTACGCGTCTTCTCCCTTCCTCGCCTTTTTCACCTGATCTTGTTTTTTTTCCTTTTTCTTGTCATCTTTTCTTCTTCCCTCTTTGGCCCATCTTCTGTCCTTCCCTTCAGCGTTGTCTTCTCCGTTAGTGCTCTCCCTCCTCAGAACCTCCCTCGAGGTGACAGTGGCCTTCGACACCTAATCGCCACGGGTTTTGGAGATTCAGGCGAAGAGCAGTGAGGGAAGCAAAGGGCCAGGTGCAGAGGAGCGAGGGAACAGCGGGCACGGTGGCACTTCGGCCGTGCGCTGTTCGTGCTCCCGTGTCTCACCTCCACCTGCTTTCCCACCTGGTGGTCATTCCCACAAGGCAACATGCCACGGAGGTTACGGCCACCGGATCGCTGGTGGCGGCTCTTCCTTTCGTCCCCCTGAAGCCCGGCTCCTGGCCGTGGGCTCCTGCCGCTCGCGGGCTGTCCGGCGGGGGGACGGTTGCGGGGCCCCCCGGCTGGGCCACACTGGCCCCCCCATCTCTGACCTCCCCAGTGACTGTTTGCCTTCCCCCCCCCGGACCCCCGCCCCCGGCCCGGGGCCCCCTGCCGCTCGCGGGCTGTCCGGCGGGGGAACGGTTGCGTGACCCCCCGGCTGGGCCACACTGGCCCCCCCATCTCTGACCTCCCCAGTGACTGTTTGATCGCCCTTCCTCCTGTCTTCACCTCCGCTCCTCAGGTGGTTAGTTCTTCCTCTTCGAGTCCTCTTCTTCCTCCTTGGTGAAGCTCGGTTTGGGTGCGGTTTCGCTTTGGTCCCTCTCCAGGCAGAGGCAAGGTGCTGTCTCCCTCCTGGAGCTCTCTCCTGGCAGGAGAACCTCCAGCTGCCGGTCCCAAACCCGGCTTGAACCCTCTGCGGGGACTCAGCTCTTTCTCCAGTGCAGGAGCGTGGGCAGAGCCCGCGCCGGCTGCGCTCTTGCTGATGCGAGGGATGGATGGGCTCAGCCTCTCGCCGCTCTCCGCTTCCCTTCTGGTGGTTTTTCTGTCTGCAGCTGGTGAAGAAATGCAACGAGGGAGCTCGCGCTATGGAGAGGACCGAGCAGATGTACACCCTGCAGAAGCAGCTGGAATTCGGGAAGAAGAAGGTGAGGACTTGTGGAAGCAGGGTGGGGGGAAAAAAGAAAATCTTCTGGGGACGTGCTGTTGAGGAGACCCAGACCCTGGGGTCAGTCGGGATGGACACATCACGCGCTAA